TGGCCTGGCCTGGCCTGCCCTGCCGCCGGCGTTCGCGCGCTATCTCGGGGTCGCCGCGCTCGCAGCGCTTGCTGCCTGCTCTGTGTGTATATATACATATAAATGTATGTTCTCATATAGGCGCTTATTTTATATATATATATATATATATAAAAAGTTACATGTTTCCATGTGTGTTTGGTATGTACGTGTGTTAAAATACCCGTGTGCCCGTTTCCCCTGGGCGGTGGCGGCGTATCCCGGCTTTCCTTTGGAAGCGCCTCCGGCGCTCCTTCAGAGACAGCCAGAGTTCTTTAAGCGTTCAAAAGGGCAGCTGGGGAGCGAGAACACCTGCATGGGAGCAGGACCCCTCTGGCCTCCTGCAGAGCCTCTGCCTGCCGGGGTGCGGCTCGTCTTGGGGCTTTTTTCCCGGTTTTCTTTAGTGTTTGTTGCCGGTGCGGCGGGCCGCGCCGGGGATGCGCAGGAGGAGCCCGGCCGCGCTGTGTGCCCGTGTCCCCTTGCGGGCCCGGGAAGAGCGGCCACCCTGCGGGACACAGCAGCTCAGCTGTCCTTGGCTGTCCCCGGAGTGTCACCGCTGCTGGCCCTCGGCAGTGCTGGGGCCAAAGCGAGCTGCTGCTCCCGCATGAGAAGCGAGAGGCTTTGAGGTTTTGGCGGTGTGAGCAGGGCTGTGGTGCCTTGATGCTGTGACAGGGAGTTGGCTGATGGAGTATCTGGGCTCGGTGCTGGCAGAATAATCCTCCTGACCCTCCTTCTGACGCTCTGATGGAGTATTTGGGCTCGGTGCTGGCAGAATAATCCTCCTGACCCTCCTTCTGACCCTCTGGGGGAGGGTCTGATTTCAGCTCTGCCAGCAGAATCGCCCTTTGGGGCTACGTCTTGTGCCTTTCTTGTGGGACAAGAGAAAGCAGTGCTAGTTCAGCCACAATGTAGAAAGAAAGCTACAAATCTTTACTGCTTCCCATAGCATCTTGTGTTTTGTTATTTTTGTGTTCTGGGGTTTCAAGTGAGTGGTATTTGCACTCTGAGATGGTGTGTTCCAAGTCCCCTGTCATTTAGCAGCACACCCGTTCTGACTTTATTCATTGGCAAGAGCATGGTAATCTTTCCTCCTAATTTTGGCCCCACCACTTCTGATTTCTTAAGTTTATTTCCTTCTCTTCATATTTATCAACAGCAGTGATTGCTGCAGCCAAAACTTAGGAGAACATCAGGCTGTCAGTATCATCTCAAAGCTTTCCCTTGATCTAAATATAACAGAGAAAATACATACTTCTTAATCTACTTGCTATCAAAGAGAACAATATGGATAAGAAGGAATTTTAACTCTCAAGTGGATAATTAACTATTTTGCCAGGCTATAGCAGCTATTCTGTGCTGTATATTGTAGAGGTATTATTTGTGATGGATGAAATGCAAAGCAAAGGATTTAGATTGTTTGCAGCATGAAAATAAAAGGCAAACTGAGGCTAGATCTTAATGTTAGTGAACTGGATTTTGATTTAATCAAAATCCATAAAGCTGGTTTTTCGCAGCACCGAGTTAAGGAAAGAGGTCTCTTGCATGAAGGACATCTGAAAAGCGAATTGGTGACTCCTGCTTCCCTTCAGGATTCACAAGACTGCTGTAAAGCAGGGGTAATTGTATACCCACCTCAGCTCTTCTAAGAAGCACTTACTACTGGCCTACTTTTTGTCCTCTTTCATTTTTTCCATACAGTTTTGAGAGTTGGGTCATTTTGCTCTTAAGCATTGTATGATTTTTTTGAATGGGACCTGATGGTTTGAGAGGCAGAGAGGAGAATCTTGCCTGATATAACTTAGTGCTTCAGTTTGATAATGGCCTGGCACGTTGTTTAATGTATTTGGTAGATCATGCTCTAAAGCTTTCTGTGAATATAGATACAGCTTACATTTCTGTCAGTGCTCCATGTTTTCCATTCCTGAGCTGTCCTTCTCCCTTTTTCAGCTCAGCCTAGAAAAATAGTCAGTATACACAGACATATTTGCTGTCATGAGCACGAGTAGGAAGGAAGGCTCCCTTGCTTTCCATTGTGGTGTGTGCAGCATCCTCTTGGCAGGCAGAAATCGTTTCCACAAGCCCCTTTTCCTTAGTTTAAGTAGTGAAATGAGACCAGAAAACAGTGTGGCTCTGTAACACCCCTGTCTCAGCTGCCTGGTGCTCCGTGGCTCCCTTTTTGTTTGTCAGGCAAGTCCCTGGCTTTGTGTTCTTTCCCTCTGCTCAGCCCAAAGGGTGCTCTCGTGCTGGGCACGTGTGTGAGAGTGACCAGGCTGGTCCTTCCTCCCCTGGAGCACACATTGCTCAAACCACAGCTCCCTCAGGCAGCCAGCACAGCCTTGCTGCCAGTTCAAAGTGCACCTCTGATCAATAAATAGTGGCATTAGACAAAATCCCTGCTGGGTTTGTGATGGGGCAGATGGGGAGAGTCAGTGTTCCTGCCCCTGTAAATCATATATTCAAGGCCCCTGCTTAGGTAAGAGCCACAAAGCCACCCTGCCAAGGGGTTTGCAGACCTGATGTGAGGATGGGCTGCTTGTCTGGCAGCGAGCAGAGGGTTTGTCACCTTGTGGCTCAGTCCTGGTGGAAGGGGGATGCACAGTGCTCTTTGTTGGCGGTGTGGGCACTGCCACTGGGGGGCCTGCCCTGCTGGGACCTGCCTCTGTGACAGCAAAGGGAAACTGCTGCCTCACTGTCTTTTCAAAAGCAGGACACAGCTGATGAGCACCTGCTGTTGGCACCAGAGAGTTGGAGGGTGGTGAGACAAGGCCTTAGCTCAGTCTAAGGCAGCTGTGTCTGCCACTGGAGCTCCTCTAAAGTCTTGGATCCCTTGGGGTGTGTTTGTGTCAACCCTCACTGGAACCACGGCTGTGTAAACAAGGGACAGTGAAGCTGTGTTCAGGTCTGAATCTGCTTGCTGAGCAGAAGTATCATGGCACCTTTGCATGTCCATATCCTTGTTGGGGGAGCCTAGGAGAAAACGTCCTTAAAATTGGCTGTATTTCAACATGACCCATGTAGCTGTGAAGGTTAGTAATTGGCACAGTGGTTTTGCTATTGGTTTAACTCCTCCAGTGGGCATAACTAGGGTATTGAAAGTAGGCTAACTGGCTGTCCCTTCAAAGTCCTCTGCAGAACTGCTCTCTTTATGTAGCAAAAATGATTTCTTAAATAATATGAGAAAAAGTTCTTCAGTATTTTGATTGGGTTGTTGAAACCTAAATATTGGTCCCAAATTATCAGTGAATAAAGCTTTATTTATTTCCTCCCTGGTCTCTGGCATGAGCAGAAGGTTTTGAGAGTTATTTAAATCCTGTAGGTCACAGATCCTGTGGCATGAATAACTTATCCTGTTCCTCATCCAGAAATATGTCATGATTGAATGACTGTGGATCAGACTTCTTTAAAGACCTAAATCCTAGAACTGGAGCAGAGTCTGGTGTCCCAGCTATAAATTGTGAGCCCTCAGGTGCTCAGTCAAAAGTGTGTTAAGCATCCAGAGAGGAGACCTTGGTCTCTGTCAGAAATAAGCACACAAGTGTTAAGCAGCTCACTCGGTAAGAACATGGGATTACTATGAAGCTGACAGGTCTGGTGTGAGGGTTAGCCCTGCTTCTGTTTCCCATAATGTACCACTTGTATCACCAAAGGAGGAAGAAAATGATATGAAAAAGCAACAGAAGCCAGGGGAGGAGCAGATGTTTGAAAAATGTTTCACTTGGGTGGATTGAGTTGATGTTGTAAAATTTCTTGAAGGTGCAGATGTGCTGAGGAGGCTGTGAAAGAAAGGAGGGGTCTCCTACACCTCCCTCTTTCCTGCCTCCAAAGTGAATTTCAGTTTCTTTAGTGAGAAGCAAGAATATCTCACAGATCTTCAAAGTATATACTCTGATGTCAGGGTGTGCTGGTTGGGCTGTGAATGTATGATTCAGATTTAAGTGACTGTATCCAAATCACGTGGCTTCTTCAGCTTCCTCTTCTATTTCCTGAGACACAGGAACTTGGGTAAGGTTCTGCAGAGGAGAGTTGTTCTGGTAGGTATAACTGCTGACAATACATTAGAGGTATGGTTTTGCTTGTGGACAAGTGGCTGCATATCAGAAAAGTGATTAATTACTTGTTTTGTTAAGCTGACTTAATAAATGCTAAAAGGAATTTTCCTATTAGTTGCATTTATAACTTCCTGAAATCTCAATTTTAAGGCTGTTCTGCCATGTTCAGGGCAGTGCACCTTCTCCCTCTGGTGTCTAGAAAGAAGAGCTGTTCCTTTCCTTCCTGTATTCTGTCACTGCTTTGCCTGCTTTTCTGCATAGGAATAGGTGAAAAGAGGCCAAGCATTTCTAGCCTCCACATTTATTCTCCGTGGTTTTGCCCCTTCAAGTAGTTTTGCTTTTAATCACAAGACAACATAAGGAAAAACCCACAAGTGGCTCTCCTAAAAGGAGACAGGTGTTTCCCTTGCTATGCAAACCTCTTCATCAGCAAAGAGAAGCACTGCTAATAAAATTATTCTGGTTAATAAACAGTCATAAGACAGCATGTAGCTCCTGATTAGTGCCTTATGTAAAGCTGAGGCTCCAGGTTACTAAGAAACTTCTGCTCCTTGCTGATGCTCACGGGAGTGTTGTGTAAGAGCTGAGCTTTCTGACAGGCAGCCAGGGTGTGAGGTGAAAATGTGTCTGGCCCCTGCCAAACAAACACTGAGCAGTGAGAAACCTCCTTTGTGGAAGGTAAGGTATACTGATGGGAGAGGGGAAATAGAGGCAGCAAGTGTGAAAGCTGTGGTAAGCAAGAAAAAGTAAGTTTCTTTAGTGCTGCATTTTGCTGATATCCGTGCCTGCAGCAGTCCCAGTGACTTGAACCGAACGGATTGTCACGCCTGGGTGAGGGCAGGATAAATCTGCTCTTGGCAGGAGCTGGAGCTGCATGGTGTGCTGGAGCCTCCCTGCTGAAATCCTCTTCAGACTTTCAGTTATTTGCAGGGTGTTCACTGTTTTCTTCCCCTCTGCTCTGCTTGTCCCCACAGCCTTGGGTAGTGCTTGGCTGTGCCCTCCTGAGTGCTGCCTTGGGAAGCGGCCATGATCACGTTCATGAACAATTCGGACAGCGAGGAGGAGCCCTGCAATGAGAGAACATCCCTGATGTCTGCAGAGAGCCCTCCAGTACCCTCCTACCAGGATGGCCTGCAAGCCTCAGAAGCAGGGGAAGCACAGGCACACAGGGTAGGTGTGTGTCCCTCACGGGGTGTGGTGACAGAAGTAGTCCTGCTACCCCTCAAGCCCTGCTTCCAGACTGGATTCTAGGATTGGCTTTAGTGTTGTTTCCCTGGTGTCACACTCAGCCAGCAGCAGCACTGCCTGTTGCCATTTCCTCCACTCCTGACTTTTTCCCCATTTTTATCTCCATATGTACTCCTCCCTTTTCCTTCCTTTTGGTAAAGATACAGGCTTTTAATCAGGACCTGATGCACATATCAGGACCTGTTGCAGGACATCCTTTTTAGCCTTCTTGTCTGCTCTGGTCAGATGCAGCTAATGTTAGAAGAGAATCTAGTCCAGCTGCCAGCAAAACAGCAGGATAAAGCAAGCACAGCATTGCTGAGAGAGGAGGAACACGTCAAGCTTTTGTCACCTCAGATGACATTTTTTCTTTCTAGTTCTGGGCATCTTGCCCTTCATGTTCATGTGTCTGTCTATATATGTGTATTTGAAGAGGTCCTTAGATATTCATGTAACTGGTTTAAAAACCACTTGCACCCGTTTGCAATGGAATTTAATGGAATTTCTAATGGTATTGTTCAGTTGGTATCTTTCTTTTAGGATTCAGCTGCTATGCTGTGGTGGCCTACAGCAGCCTCGTGAGATATGATGGATTCAAGCTTTGAACACAAAGAAAAGAAGCATCTTACACATTTGCAAATGTTTCTTTTCAGAAGAGGCGAGCAGGCAGCAGCCGTGGCCCAAACAATGTCGCTGGTGGAGAAATGTCTGGCTCGGGTGTTCCAGTGAGAGAAAGCATCCTGGAAAATGAAGAGGAGGAACTGACACTGAAATATGGAGCAAAGCATGTAATCATGCTCTTTGTGCCTGTCACCCTTTGTATGATTGTTGTCGTCGCCACCATAAAGTCAGTGCGCTTCTATACGGAGAAAAGCGGGCAGCTGTAAGTGGGCTCTGCAAACAGCCTGAGTATGTGGGACCCCCTGCTCCACACACACGCTCTGTGCATGCAGAGTGCTTCCTTGGCAGGCTGGGAGAACCTTTACACAGGTGAAGGTGGCTGTGGAGACATACAGAGAGCTTGCTGAAGTATGCTATGTTCACCTGTATAAGTTTTTCCCATACCTGCATTATGCTGATCTGTTAGCAGTGTCATTTGGGGTGCCCTGAGTGAGGCCTGTGAGCAGCACACTGAAGCTGCGTCATTCTGCAGCAGAAAAGGCCCAGGCTGAGCTCCTAGACTGTTCACTCACTAGCTGGCAGCAATGAGGGAATAGCATGTTCATTTGGATGAGTGTCTCATTTCCTGGTGATATTTCTGGTTCCTAAGGACTCATGGTGTGGATACATAATTCCATCCAGCTCTTGCTGACAGTGCCTGGCTTCTGGGCCCTGTCTCCTGGGGCTATAGCTGCTTCACATATGGGATGGAGAAAGGGGGACTGTGGTCCCTTGAACTGAATCAAAGGAAACAAAATGGGGGAAGGGCTGTAGGCTGGTGAGAAGGGATAAAAAAAGAGTCCAAAACTCCCCTACCAAATATGGAAAGAAAGGGTGTCCCCTATTTCAGAACAGCACCTGGGAACCCAGCTGCTCTATAAGAACGTGCTTTTGATAGAGACCACTAATCTTTAGTTGATAATTAACCTGAGCCCAGCCTACATCTCATGTTTGCTGTCCTTGGCAGTTCTACCTCCCTTTCTTTCCCACACACAGAGAGGTCTGGTTTTATCTGGGACAGATAGTTAGAGGAGAATATCTGTACTTTATATGGCTTTTGCTTTATCCTGCAGGATCTACACCCCTTTCAGTGAGGACACCCCATCTGTGGGCCAGCGTCTCTTGAACTCGGTGTTGAACACCATCGTGATGATCAGTGTCATCATTGTAATGACTGTGTTCCTAGTGCTGCTCTATAAATATCGCTGCTACAAGGTAAAGCATCCATGCCAGAGCCTTTTCCATCTCTGTGCTGTGAGCCTGGGATCAAATGGGCCTTGCATGGCAGTGAGAGACACAGGCACAGCACTGGCTCATCCTCATCTTGGGCACAGCAGGAATCATACTGTGCAGAACTCTTCATCAGTAGTGATGGAGCTGTGGCTCTGAATAGGCTTAGCTATTATTTTGTCACTAATGGTAGGCCCTTAAAAAACAAGATCTGCTACTGTGTGTTTGTCAGGTCTGAGTCTTCTGCACCTGATCCAAATATTTTGCCATTTGTACTTACAGACTAAGTTGTACTCTTTACTGTGAATGCCTTTTATTAAGTCATTTCAGACAAGCTTTGTGGGAACTGGTATTTTTTTCTGCCTGTGGAAGCTCTGGTAGAAGAGCACAAGGTTTGGAGAGAAAGGCACATTCAGGTTCTATGGTCCTCAGTTCTTATATGTGGTACCAGTTCAGCATTTGAGCTCCGTCCATTCCTGCTTTTTAAACTTGTCCCAAAGACAGAGTTTATTTTAGAGCCTCGGGTAAACCCCTCCTCTTTCCTAACAAACAGAAAGAATGTGCTCACCTGTATGAGCTAGCAGCCAGTCTGAATACATGAAAATGCTTAGGCCAGAGACTGAAATAAACCCAGACCAGCTAAAACAGTAAAGGACAGAATACAAAATGAAAGTGGGAGAACTGGGAGGAACTGGCTGTCCCTTCTCCTTCACTGACCATAGGGAAGACAGGGTCTTTGGACACTGGAAGAGGAGTGCAGAAGGGGGCTATTGGGCTGTAGTTCTGTGACCTGTGCAGGGATAACAGCCCTTACAATCACTGTCTCTTCTTGTCCTTGACAGTTCATCCATGGCTGGCTGATCCTGTCCTCCTTGATGCTGCTCTTCCTCTTTACCTACATATACCTCGGGTAAGTGGGAATGGTGCAGGTAACCTGGCAGTTCAGGGCTCCTGCACCTCTTTGCTGAGAATTCCCACTTTGAACAAGAAAAGGAATATCTCCCCTTCTCCAAATGGACATTTAAGTGTTGTTAGAAGAAGACAGCTTTCTCTTTTAAAAACCGGAAAAGAAGATCTTGAATAGTCAATGCTCAGTTTTACAAAAATCGCTGGGAAGTGAGTATGACATGAACAGGCTGAATCTTGTGGTACAGAGGCCCTGGATTATACATTGAGAAGCATGTGGAAAGGCACTTTGTGTGCCAAGATACTTTCCTGATTTGTCTTTTTTCTTAGACAACATTGTTCAAAGCTCATTCCCTTAGCTCCCATCTCAGGTGAAAGGAAACTTTTAACTTGTGGGTGACATTTGTTAAGAGATTTTCATTTTTAACTGTGAGCGTATTGCACCTGGTGGGATGACACTGACAGGATTTCTTTGCTGCAGACAGTCAGATAGCCACAGGCCTATGCTCATTTAAGACTTGAAATCCTGCCTGCTCAAACCTTGGAATGGCTGTTGAACTGAGGACTAAGGCAGTGGAATGCTGGTCTGTAACACAGCACATCCATCTCATGCAGGAGGAACAGAGCTCAGAGCAGCAAGCAGCCAAAGGGCAGGTTCCCCTTTCATGATGAGAGTTGCTCTATTCTGCTTCCTCCTGGTGTAGTTGGGGACCTTTTTCTTTAACTACAGCCAGTGGGATGCTTTGCTTTAGCTTTCACTGCTTAGCTAAATTTAGGCTGGGGACTTTTTTATTTAACTACAGCCAGTGGGATGCTTTGCATGTCTTTAGCTTTCACTGCTTAGCTAAATTTTCTTGTGGTATTCCAGGGAAGTATTGAAGACATACAATGTGGCCATGGATTATCCCACTCTCTTCATAGTCATCTGGAATTTTGGAGCTGTTGGAATGATTTGCATCCATTGGAAAGGTCCCTTGCAGCTCCAGCAAGCTTATCTCATTATGATCAGTGCTCTAATGGCATTGGTGTTCATTAAATATCTACCTGAGTGGTCAGCATGGGTGATTCTAGGTGCAATCTCCATCTATGGTAAGTCTGGGTTGTGACTCTCGAGATGTGGCTCCTCAGGACTCTGTATGTCCTTCAAAAAACCAACTTTATGGTGCTAAAAGTGCCAGATGGGCAATTAGCCTGCCTTGTCTCTTGCTAATTGTTTATGTAGGTAGTGTACCTCAACCAGGTAAGATGTGGCTCCTCAGGACTCAGTATGTCCTTCAAAAAACCAAGTTTATGGTGCTAAAAGCTTTAGAAAGTGCCAGATGGGCAATTAACTTGACTCCCTGCCTTGTCTCTTGCTAATTGTTTATGTAGGTAGTGTACCTCAACCAGGTCTGTCAAAGTGGATCACCAAGTCAGGGAAGGACTGAACCTCACCTAAGTGCATGGTAGGGGTGGCTGGATTTTTATCAGTAGCAGACCCGAAAGTCTTGCAGGTTTTGTTTATTGTTATCAAGAGATCATGGATTTTGGTATGAGTTCTAAGTTTCAAGTGAACCTGCAGAGCAAGAGGGAGGAGAGATGTGATGGAGGAGAGAGGGTAGGCAAAGAGGTACTGGACTGAAGGCTGCATGTGAAACACAGAGCCAGTGTAGGTAGTGATGGATTGTGGAATGTGAACAAAGCACCCCCACTCCTCCTCTAATTAAATTTAACATCTCAGTGAATCAGCTTTCAAAGAACTCATGTGGTATTCTCAAGGGGCTTTTTATAGGATTAGCACAGTGAAAACTCTTTATTATTACATTAAGGCTTGGAGATGGTATTTTAAGTGAGCAACACTTTCAGGGACTTAAAACAGCTAGAGTTATGCAAAGTGGTGGAAAGTGCCATTCAGGAAATCATCTGGTTTATATGGATAGATGTAAATTTAGGGGGAGAACATCTTAAAGATAAAGAATGTAAAATATGCATGACAGTTCAAGATGAGATTGGTCCTTTTCTTTCTGCAGATCTGATGGCTGTTCTCTGCCCCAAGGGGCCACTGAGAATGCTGGTAGAAACTGCACAGGAGAGAAATGAGCCCATTTTCCCTGCATTAATATATTCCTGTGAGTAAGATTACAATGTTAATGTTTTTAGCCAGATGAAACTCTGTGTCAAAGCAAAGAGCACTGTTTTACTACTTTCTTGCCTTAAGAATGTTCTGGAATTTGTAGAAGGCCTTGTTTATCACTTACAATGTTGCTAACTCAGATTAGCCAAAGGGAGCCCACATTTACCTTGTGAAGCTGGATGTTCAGAAACAGACTAATCCTTTCATGAATATAGTGCAGAATATGCCTTTTTTTTTCTGCACACAAAACCCTGTGTCAGGTGGGCAGCAGTGTTTGCCAAGTTCTGTGATGAGGTGATGCTCCCTCAATACATTTATTCATTGTGTGTATGCTTCACAGACACACTTTAAGCATGTGATGAGGCTCCATGCTTCCTGCAGCCCCCTCTTGCCCTCTGTGCCCTCTGTCCCGTACAGATGCCAGTGCTTAGAATATATTTGCTTTATTGTTCATTGTTTGGCTCCTCACTTTGCAAAGGGCTCCATTCAAGTATTGCTCTGCAAACAGCATCAGTCATCTCTCCCCTGGCTTTCTTGGGCTCTTTAACTACCACAGTGTCTGGTGCCCTTGTCCAGAGGTATCCACATGCCTAAGATTGTTGGAAGGCAGAAGAATCAACACTCATGGGACCTCAACTCGAGTCCTTCATGGACCTCAGTGACTTTTTCATTACATCACTTGGAAGATGAAGGGTTATTCCCAAAAGTTTGGTGCTAAGCTGAGGATGCCTACAACCTGACTGATTTTTTTTCTTCAAGCATTTAATGTTACATAAATGCTTTTATGTGTTCCAAGCAGAGTCTCAGTTCACCTCAGCTGCCTTCCCTTTT